TTCGCCTGCTTTGATGCGAGCGGATTTGGACTCCCGAAGTCCGTAAGTAAAATAAAAGACTAATTTGCCAAGCAAGTCATTGACTTTGACTGGAAATCGCTATTTTTGATAAACAAGAAACTCTATGTTGAAATGAGAAAATCATTGACAAAAAAGCGAAAGTAGATAAATTCAGGCGTCATAGGAAAATTGCATCCAGAGGAAGAATGTCGATCCGAGGGTTTGGACGGAATTCCTGTTCCATGGAGAACTGCCTGGTGATAGAGGTTAAAGGGAGGATAAGGAAGATAATAGGGATTCTTGTAGGGGAAGAGGACGAGATATGTCGACTGTTGGCAGCGACGCAATATACTCTCATGTTGTCGTTTCTTTTGGGACAACTCCAGGTGTGACAATCACCGGTCTTGCGACCAACATTCTTTAATTTACTGTATTTTGTTGAAATGCAACTTGCGCAAGCAATATTGAGAAGGATGCCGGACTCAGGAAGGACTGATTTTCATATGATGAACTGCCGTGGGCGAGGTTGGTTGTGGACAGAGTGATCCAACAGACCAGAGAGGTGGGTAAACTCCCAACATATCAGTAATATTCCTCTTTGTATGCGAACAGTTTGTCCTTCTTATCATTCTTGTCCATCCAACGATAGAAATTCGGTCGGACAAGCCACTAAGGGGAATATTAAAGGCTGTGTGTGTATACACCATCCAACCAACACACCTACGCTTGACATAGCGGATTTCTAAATTACAAAGGTAGTATAAAAATGTTTTCAGGCAATCCGTAAATAAAAATCGATTATGCCATAAAAAATAGAAATAACTGCCTCCGACTTATTGAATTGAAAGCTCAGCAGCCGGAGATCATGCGAAGAGAAGCGATTACAGATGTATTCAATACAACGCTGACGATTTGCCCTACTTGTTAGGCCCTGTCGCTTCTTTCTCGCCGCCGTTAGGCGACTCGCTGGTAATGGCCTGGAGATCTTTGACTTTGCGAATATCCTTCCATCCAAGTCCTGGAGCAAAAGGAATAACGGCAATGCTAACAGCAATGCCAAGGTACATGACGCTGTCGATGCTTTTGGCGTATGCTGCGAGCACAGCAGTTAGCTGGGATCCAGACACCAGGTCGCGGATGGAGCGGACCCCGGCCGCAATGATGACATCTGGAGCACGGCCGACTTGTACAACGCGTTGTTGGAGCTGCTGACGAAGGGTGTTGCTGAAAATGGCATTTGCGGCGATCAGAGAAGTGGAGTCCCCGATATTCTGCCAGAAAATTATAATGGCCATGGCTTGGGGGATTTGCTCTGCAGGCACAAGGTTTTGGATGGCGAAGTACGGCTGTATTGTAGAGATGCGGATCAGCGACAGATGATTTACGTAATTTGCTAGCCAGGGATTGAAAACTTACAGCAGCTGTCGTGCATCCGCTTGCAACACCGTACAGAATCTGGTATCCAATCCATTTTGCAGGTGGGGTTGTAGGAGCGAGTGTCGATAAGAGGCCATAGCCAATAGCTGATATCGCACCTCCCGCAAGAAGAAATGGAAGAAAGTAGCCAACAACGGAAACTTTGGAGTTATCGGCTTCGGTCAGTTTGCAGAGAACTTCTCTGGGGAAAGAAGAATAAAAATCACTGCTGGAAGCACTTACTCAGCACGCCGGAGACTAGAGTAAGCGCCGCCATACCTGCGTCAGAGGGGTCAGCATCCTGGGCATGCGGGCAACAGTAGTGGTGAGTTCGAGCGTTCACTTACCAACCAACATCCACCAGCGAGTCAAACCCGGACGTAATGGCTGGAGTGGCTGTGGAGATGACGGCAAGATCAAGGAAAAATAGAAAATAAGCTAGGGTAACCGATGTGAGGATAAGTGTGAGGGTAAGCCCTTTGGGATACTCGTATTTGAGCTCTGCATCATCGCTAGAGACGCTTTTCTCGGTGCCGTCTTTCTGCACCGAATAGCCCTGCCATGGTTCGGATGAGTTTATTGGAGGAGCATCCAGGGGAGGGTACTGGGTCTCGGCCATTTGGAAGACGTGACTTTTGTGTCCAAATTCTGTGGCTGAAGAACTCTTGGTGCTCCTAGTTATGATCCTGTGATGGCTACAGGATCACGATGTATATATATATATATATATATATATGTAAAGGAGTGGCATTCCCATTTTTGCTTATAAATACGTACATGTGTATTTCAGATAAGGGGTACAACTGGAGTGTAGTGAGTGTACCGGTGTATGATTCCGAAATCCGGTCTGGTTTCACCTGGAGCATAGAATATGTGGCGATGCCACTTTCTACTCTGCTCTAGGTCATATTTGTAATCCATACTGCGCCCTTCCTGGAGTGTCGAGGAAACCGGAAAGTTGTCTCCTAAACCCGGGCAAATTCTAGAACAAGTAAAAAAACACCACGATTCTCAACAAACGGGATTTCGAAATTATAACGATTGCAGCCTTCAAAATGTCATATCAACGAAGTGCATGTAGGCCTGCTGTCACTATTGTTGGAGGCGACACCATTGAAATCATACTGATGTTGAGCACTCCGCGCCGTGTGTTTGGGGTTGCACCCATTATTTTGATGGCATGAACAGGCATTGGTGCCGCCATTGGCTCTAATGGCGTGTACCCAAATGTTCATGGAGAGTAGGTACTCGAATTTTGGTTTGAGATGCATAGGAGAGGTCTCCATAGTGCGAAGTTCTTCACCCGGTCGGGCTTTCTCAACCCAAGCAAGTTTCTCAACGGCACGGAGACTCGCAGCTCGTCGAGACTTTAGAGAAAAATATGGCACACGCCTGTGACGGATTTCCAAGCCAAGCAGACATGGCTGTTCATCTGCCCGATTGCCCAGCTGTCCAAAAAAAGTGGTGTAGTTTCAAAATTCGATTTTGGGCCACAGACGACGAGGCAGGCGAAAGCGTCGCCTTGTTATCTTCACAGAGAGAACACACTTTGGCACGGTGCCTTTATTCCAGACGAAACGTAACCAGTGCACTCTGGAATTTTAAGTGAGTGCCCCAAGTCAAAATAGCACACATACGGGGTCTGGTTCCCGGATGGATTCCTTTCTGGTTTGTTCATCTGAAGTCTTTTTGAACCTCGATGAATCCGGTAGGATGTTGAGCAGCCACCCAAGGCTATCCGCTGGGGCTTCCGCACGCACTTCTCTTGAGATTCCATGAATTAATCGGAGTGAGAAGTGGCATCATGCAAATTTTGTGCCAGTGTCATCCCATGCATTGGTCGGTTGGGGTAGGGATTCCTCTGTATGAATCAGCACGTGGTGATCTAAATTGACGATAGTCTGGGGTTGCCGGGAACAACGATAATCCGCGTAACTATTACCCCAACAGAAACCTCGTTGTAGGTTATACAACTCCCTCAAGGGAATATACCAGGGGAAAACACTGCTTACCTTGTAGCGAGTCGTGGCAAATTTCGCCTCCAACTGATTTCGTCACTATCTAATTGATAAGGAATTGTCGATCGTTGTTGAAGATACAGCTTAACCATGAAATGAGCGCTGACATCAATGGCATCAGGATAGAAGGGATGAAAGTGTCCCATGACCATGTAAGTTTAAAATGACTTCTACTTCTACTGCGGACGAAGAAAGAAAGATCTTGAGTCCGAGGGCATGATTAGTATGCTCACATGTCAATACCCGTCCCTCAGCGAAACCTTGGAAGGGTGTCCAATCTGAATAACTTGAAAATAAATGGCCAAGGTCATGTTTTCAGAACGGTTGACATGAACCTGACAAAAGAATGCGTAACTTCTACATTATGTAGGTTTGAACAATCGAAAGCAAGACATTTGATTAACCGTTCTTGCATTCGACCTCGTCCATTTTCAACCTCAATGCTTCCTTCACTGTCGCACCCATGGAGTACAGATTAGGCTGTGTACATGTACAGATTACAGTACAAGAAGTTCGCAATATGGACACTCACCCGCCTCTTGGCGTACAGATCACGCCATAGCAGGGCAGGCTGACGGAGTCTGCAGGGATGATGGCGAGCCAGCTTGCTGAATAAGATAATGCAGCGATTCAAGACTGCTGATTGGTGATGAGGGAAATTTATGCAGATTCCTCGGAGCATGACTAAGCTTTATGCAACCCTCATCGGCTTTCCTGTTTCGGCTTTCTGGCAGGATTACGACATGGTACCGCGCATCCATGTACCTCGTGTGGGCTGCCCCGCTGTAACATGTGACGGAGGGGACATAGTGGGTACTTGTGATGCAGTAACGAGAAAAATGATATCGCAAAGTGAACCCAGAGCCCTGGCTAGATGGGCCAATGATCAGCTGTTGCCGGCCCCATTTTTGGGCCCGCACCTCAATTTTCGAGCTGACCAGGTGAGAGGAACAGGCTTTTTCTGCCTTCCATGGCGTCAATCCGTCCTATCGATGATTGAGCCAGGAGTACGAGCAATTGTTAGCGCAGCTTACATCATTGTTTGGTTGGGCCTATTTTGACATCCTTGTTCCTTTTCCTTTTCTTCGTCTTCTCATCTCTTCAACTTTCTTCTCCTGTGTTCTCCACAAGATTACTGCATCTCTGAACGTAAAGCTCAATTGTTTCTATTCCATAGCATTACGGAAGGCTCGCATTCCCCGCTTCGCCCATTGTTGACAGCCCAGGCGAGAGCCAAAAGTCAGCATGGCTAACAAACCTCATGGCGGGGTCCTCAAGGACTTGTTAGCAAGGGATTCTCCACGACATGACGAGCTGGAAGCTGAGGCGGAGACCCTGCCTGCCATTGTTCTTAATGAAAGGCAACTCTGCGATCTGGAATTGATTATGAACGGTGGCTTCAGCCCCCTCGAAGGCTTCATGAACGAGAAGGATTACAATGGGTACGCACGTTACATCTTACACCACTTGGGCGGATAAATCTTCCGCTTATTACCACTGGGGGAATAGAATACCTATTGCGCAGAACAAATCTAATATCAATTATTTCTTCTTTAACAGCGTCGTCACAGATGTCCGACTAGCAGACGGGAATGTTTTCAGCATTCCAATCACTCTTGATATATCCGCAGAGGACATCCAAGAGTTTGGTGTGAAGCCAGGAGCTCGGGTTACCCTCCGAGATTTCAGAGATGACCGCAATCTAGCGATCCTGACCGTAGATGACGTTTACAAGCCCGACAAGTATGTTTTGCGTGAGCTTCTTGTCACTTAGTTGTTGCCGTATAATTTTGAGATTGCTGATGTAGTATTTCTCCCTCATAAAATATAGGCTAAAGGAAGCAAAGGAAGTTTTTGGCGGTGATGAAGAACATCCTTCAATCAAGTACCTGTTCAATAAGGTTGAGGAGTTTTATGTTGGAGGAAAAGTTGAAGCTGTGAATAAGCTCAACCATTATGATTATGTAGCTCTGAGATGTAAGGTACCTCTGCAAAGGTATATCATAAGCTATAATGTTAACCTCTATACAGTTACGCCCGCTGAATTGCGATCCCACTTTGACAAGCTCGGTTGGACGAGGGTTGTTGCTTTCCAAACAAGGTGAGTGCCTCATGATCATATTTAGGTTGGACGTTTTTAAGCTAACAAAGGTATCAGAAACCCTATGCATAGAGCCCACCGTGAATTAACAGTCCGAGCTGCTCGTGCCCGCCACGCAAACGTCCTGATCCACCCAGTCGTTGGTCTCACCAAGCCAGGTGACATTGATCATTTCACCCGTGTGCGTGTCTACGAGGCTCTTTTACCCAGATACCCCAACGGAATGGCTGTCCTCGGTCTTCTTCCCCTTGCTATGCGAATGGGTGGTCCCCGTGAAGCAATCTGGCACGCTATTATTCGCAAAAATCATGGCGCCACACATTTCATCGTCGGACGAGACCATGCTGGCCCAGGAAAGAATTCCAAGGGCGTCGAATTCTACGGCCCTTATGACGCCCAGCACGCCGTTGAGAAATACAAGGACGAAGCTGGAATCGGTGTCGTAGAAATCCAGCAGGTCACTTATCTCCCAGATACCGACGAGTACAAACCCGTCAATGAAGTGTCCGCAGGCACCAAGACCCTGGACATTAGCGGCACGGAGCTTCGAAAACGCCTCCGTACCGGCGGCCACATCCCCGAATGGTTCTCATACCCAGAGGTGGTCAAAGTACTTCGCGAATCAAACCCTCCCAGATCAACACAGGGTTTCACCATCTTCCTCACTGGCTACCAAAACAGCGGCAAGGACGCCATCGCCCGTGCCCTTCAAGTCACGCTAAATCAGCAAGGCGGTCGCTCCGTCTCCCTCCTCCTCGGCGACACGGTGCGCCACGAACTCTCCTCCGAACTTGGCTTCTCCCGTGAAGACCGCCATAAGAACATTCAGCGCATCGCCTTCGTGGCCGCCGAGCTCACCAAAGCCGGCGCCGCCGTCATCGCCGCTCCGATCGCCCCGCACGAGTTCAGTAGAGAGGCAGCGCGCGATACCATTTCGGCGGTCGGAAGCTTCTTCCTTGTCCACGTCGCGACGTCGCTGGAGTATGCTGAGAAGACTGATAAGCGAGGCATTTATGCGAAGGCGAGACGCGGGGAGATCAAGGGATTTACTGGCGTGGATGATCCCTATGAGACTCCCAAGGCTGCGGACCTCACTGTTGATCTTGAGAAGCAGACCGTACGGGCTATTGTGCATGAGATCATTCTGATGCTTGAGAGCCAGGGATTTTTGGATAGATCTTAGATTTTTTGGAAAATTCAGAGTTGTTCTTTTGGTTGTTTTTGGGTGATGTTTCTTTTGTTTTCTTATTCCACTTCATCCATGTTACACGACAGGGCACGAAACACGATATATGATCAAAACGGCTCAAGAGAGGGAAAAAGTGCCAATGGGAAGATATATATAAAACTTTATGTTGTTGGATTTTTGAATTTTTCTCTCATCCAAAGCCTCTGCCCTGCTTTTGTCGTTGATACACTGCAGCTGGCTTAGTGAATTTTCCCGCCCATACTTTTGGGGGTATTTTATTTTCTCCTCGGATTTTTGTTTTCGATTTTTTAGTCTTGTTCACATTTATTTAGATATCGGGCACAGAGGTTTTGGTTAAAAACCTCTTGGAACTTAGGATGTTTGTGCCCTACTGGGTTGGATGGAAGTCCGTTCTAGGGTTTTCGACTTTAGTAAACATAACGAGAGAATAAATCATGCTATATATTTACATAGTGACCAGCTAATAAACAAATTCAATAGAATCCGATTGACTGACAGTTTACTCGTAGTATTTGAACCCGCAAGACTAAATCTGATGCAAACAAAACAAACACCCCGGATATTGATCCGACCTCTTTCGAGCCACAATTTTCCCAGTGAACTTTTCATATCCGGCATTGCTTTCGCCATGCTGCGCCCACAACTTCTCACACGACGAATACCAAATCCCCTCCGGCCACTGCGGCCACCCATATACTATACACAACCCACGAAACCCCGCTTCTTCACCATCAATGGCCCGCAACTCATTATCACCTTACCCTCCGCTCGACACCGACCACAACTCCCCTTCCTCCATTCCCCTTCCACTGCCCGATCAACCCCAACAACTGCCAACCACCTTTTAAACGCCGCCTTACTCCGCCTCCATATCCCCCGTCTAATCAGCACAGAGCGCAAAGCCTACTATCAGCGGATATACCGGGGCTTGAAAATCGGTCTCAGCGTGTATGCAGCCATAGTGCTCCTCTTCGTGATCCGCGTGGGGTTCTCGCAAGAGAATTATGAGCGGCTCTTCCCCACACCGCCAGAGTGGACATTTAGGAGCCGTTGGAAGCTTCGCACTGCGCGCGCTAGAGCACATCCGGAGCTCTTTCATAAACTACAGACGAGCTGGGCGAGCGTGGGGACATTCTATGTGGATCTGTTGGCGAGGTTGGAGGATCCAGAGATCGACGGGAAGGGGCTGAAGGAGCAGGATGAGGGGGGTTTACTGATTGAGGGCGTCGGGAAGGCTGGGTATGATATTTCGGGTATGAGTGAGGCGTGGAAGATCGGTTACTTCCAGGCGCTCATGGGGGCGGGAGAGGCGGCGGAGAAATTGGATGGGTGGATGGAGGATACGGAGCAACGGATTGTTGGTCCGGCGGAGTGTGTGCTTGGTCCGTCGAATGCGATGCCACAGCTTTTACCCGGAACGAAGAAGATGCTCAAGGAGGAACATTGTGTGCCGGCCTATCAGAGTCCGGAGGCGTTTTATGTGAAGATATTGACGACGAAAGGATTTGGGACGCATCAGAAACTTGATGCGGCACTTGCTTATGCTGATTGGCTAGATTTTAAGGGTCTGAAGGAGACGGCGGGAAATGTATATAGTTGGGCGATGGATATTGCAACTGCCGAACTCCCGGGGGACGTGGACCCGAACAAGGTTGTGGATCGGCAAACTGGCATTCTGAAAGAGCGAGGGAATGCCCATGTGACGGAGAACTTATTGCGGGCGTCAACTGCCCTGGGTGTACATCAGGTGCGCCTAGGTGATTTGCCGACTGCATTATCGATTTTTGTGTCTGTCCTGAGAGCTCGTCGATCTCTTCCACAAGAAGAGCATTCTGCCTCAATAACCCAGCCAATTTCTTCTCCTCCAAATGCGTCGAAGGCAAAGAACGACTCCGTCCTTATCCTCGTCCCCAAATCCATCCTCTCCTTCCTCACCCCCCCTACATATCCCCTCCCAACCCGGACCGGCAACGAACGCGCCGTGCGTTCCATTTACAACGCCTGTGAAGAGGCAGGACTAATGGTGTACATCGGGGAGATAATCTTCGCCGCCTCGTCGCACGAACGTGGCCTAGCATGGACCCGTGATGCAGTCGACCTAGCCGAAGCCACCATCCTCCAACTCAATGCCGAAGAAGAAGAAAAAAATCCTGATTCCAATTCCATGTTCATGACAACGAACAACACCAGTAGCGGCAGCTTGTCCATGAATCATTCCGACACTCACCAGCGCTGCCGGGAGTGTGTCAAGGCGGGCCTGGACAATTGGAAGCAGATGGTGCGACAGTTGGTTGTCAAGGCGGAAAATGAAGAGTTGGATAGTATGGATCAAGTTGGCAAGTTGTCGTGGTTGTCGTGGTGGGCTGGGGGAATGAAAAGGGTGAAGCAGAAAGAGATGGAGAGGAAGCGGTGGGAGGCTGAGGAGTTGATTGTTAAGGATCGCGAGAGAGCATTGAGGTACATCCTGGGGAATCCGGGGTTTGCAGATTATGGGATGTCGGTAGTTGTGGGGTGAATTGGTAATGGATTGGTTTACTGTGGTGATTCTTTTTTCTCGTATTTTTTCTTCGGAGGGCCGGCGTCCTGTTCCTTGATGATTGTATTACTATTCACAGATTTGGATTGGCTTGGAATGTATTCATTTCTACGCTCCACCGTGTCTCTGTGCGGAATATGAATGGAGTTCGTTGTGCATTTTTTTTATTTAATTTTTTTTTGACAGCTCCTTTGATGGATTGATTGGACTCGGGAATTCACTTGTAACCAGAAGCGGGTTGAGCAAATTTGATGCAGAATTCTATATGTAAGGTCGCATATCTAAAAATCGCAAAACGTAAGACCAGGGTAACATTCCTTGCTTATCAGATACTTTTGTTGTTGGCCCTGACATTTTGTTTCCAAGGGTCAGAAAACTGTATTCAACCACCATGAAGGGCCCGAGTGGGGCGATCGGGAGATCGACATCGGTACCAGCGGATCCGCCGAGCTTAATCAAGATAAGGCTTCCCATTCAGTTCAACCTTAAGAGGAACGTGACCAGGGTTCAAAACTTTGGGACTTGAAGCTCTGACTGAAAGCTGGGGATGTAATTATTTTCCCATCTGTCTCCCAGGCTTTATATATCTCTGGTTCCTCCTACATTCATGACGGGGAGAAATACATCGACGAAGATATCCAAAATTCCAGGGCTTCTCCACAGGTCGTAAAGATGACATATAAATATAAAAGAATAGAATAGCAGAAATGGTATTACATCTCCTACGGATTAAATCATCAAAGTACATTGGTTCTGATCGTATCGCCAGCTGGTTCCTCCTGGTCTGCAAATTTCGAACTCTCAACATTCCAAGTAACATCTTTTTTTATAATTATCCGTCTACCGCTGTAATTCTCCAAGTTTGAACCTTCTCGTCCCGGGCTGCCAATCCTTGCTGTCGTAGCGCGCCTCATCTCATCGCGACCCAATGATTGTGGTTGCTTGTCCCTGGGAGGGGATTTTTGTCGCAATAGGGGAGGAGGTGGTTGTAACACGTTGTCGCTGGCCATTGTTGTGCTGATTGAATTTCTTATCCAAGGTCTTTTAGACTTGGTTGATGCGATCGTCGAGAGGGAGAATGTGTCGCGGCTGAATCTGCGGCTGCGGCTGCCCTTGCTGTTTCCACTATTGCTGTGACTTCCATTCCGGCTGTGGATGCGGCTTCTGTAAGAGGGTCGGCCAGTTTCCTCATATGCGGCCATAAAGGGTTTGAGGCAGGGTATTGTGTTTGCCATGATGCCGTAGCTCAATTCTAACTGGAGATAGGCTGTAACGGAGCTGCCTACCAGAGTGTAATCTGAGGACTCGATCATTTTTTTTATATAGTGTAAGTGGAAGGAGGCTGGGAGCGCGACACTGCGGTACGTTAAAAAACGAACAATTGGACTTTTGGGATGTGTCGTGATGATCAGATTCAATATCAGCGAATTGAGAAAACAGGGAGACTCACAGAAGACGAGAGCTAAACGCTGAAACAACAACGATTTTCCCTATAACGGGCATTTGAATGCCAGCTACAAGAAAAAAGGATACAGCTGCTAAGCTAGCCTCGGTGATTATATCAAAAGCCGTTATAATCTGCCACCGAGGAAACTGTAATTGAAGACGCTTTAGCCCCTATAACCACTTCTCACTCCAGAAAATTCACATCCGTAATGATCTTACCATAGCGGCGCAATGTGAGTTAGCATCCAACCATGGTCGAGGAAAACCACAAACTGATGATAGTAAAATCATGGATACCACTGCCCAGATTACGGACACTCCAACCAATCCCCATGCTACGAAGACATGCGAACGACTAGGTGATATCCGTAGGTAAAAGAGCGCAGCAGAGCTTTTCGAAATGCAGTGAGTGACAATGTATAGGATATCTGCAGCGTATGTTGCCTATGTTTGAATCACCCTTTAGCCATTGTCGTTTTAGTTGAGGTGATGAAGTCGGGAATTATCATACCTTAAGCAGCACTACATGCTCCCGTTGTGTGAGAAGCTCTCTTGACTTTCCCCATCCATTGCCTATTTGAATGAATACGACGGATGATTGGGTACAAAATACAATCTGAAAAAGCTATGTTAGCTGAGCGCTATTTATGTCACCCCCTTGGAATGCTTCAGATATGCAGCAGCAGGAAAGCTCACAGTTGCCACTAGGAGAACATAATCATCTTTTTTAACCACATGCCTGGAATGCTGGACATATGCACGTATCCCCAGGGAAACAAGCGCGAATCCGAGAAGCAGCGCGGTAACGATTGCTATAAACCCCCCATGGTCTTTGTTGGTATCTACCGCAAGAGGCTCCGAAATCCCAGGTGGTAAATTGCCTGATATTGCCATGTAGGTACAGACATTCGAGGTTCTGGTGATGAAAGCAAGAAAACAGTAGTTATTTACTCCTCTAAGTTGATACGAAAGGAATATCGGTATGCAGAGAATAAAACAAACGTATCATAATTTATAGTCAAAGTCAGCACTCGGCAGCTTTCGAAAGAAATGGATGAGCAGCCATGCCGTCCTCCGTTCAAAATAATAGAGAAACCTAAGCAAGGTAGGACAGCTCCATGGAGTCTGCCTAGGCGACTAACAATAGAAGAGTGAACCCTTAAATATGTCATTTTTATTGTGCTAAACTGGTTCCGCAGGCATTGGAAGTGCCCGCTGTCATTCATTCGTGAGATGCAATCTGCTGCCCCAATCTTGTGGCGGGCTCTGAGCGGCTGTAAACCAACATATCGGGTGATCGTTCTAGCCGTGGAACCCTCGAAGGAAATACATCACTCTACAGATTACAGAGAAGCGGTGATTTATCATCCTTGGTGGCTGGCTGGCGAATGGAAGCAGCGTGCATGAAGGCTAAAAAAATGCGCAACATTAAATAACTTCTCTCGATTGAGGCACACGCTGTAGCAAATAATAACAAGGTTCGGACAATGCTTCCTCTTGGTCATCAACAACGTTCCGTAGAAGCCGAGAGAAAACAATGCACTTGTATTCCATTTTTTGGGTTCTCGATGGCTTGATGGGCCAAATGGTCCGAACCCTGGAATGACCATAAGGTTGGTAATCCCTTTAGACCCAACTCCAGGGTCCCCGGGTGTCCTTTGTCCATCCTCCGAGAGCTCGACAGAGCTTTCATCTCTGGGAGGTAGCCAGGGACGGCTAACTATCCTAGCTTTTAGGCGTGTAGATCGGTAGAGATCCATCTAAATGGATCCGAGCCCGAAGCCCTGGCGGTTGAGTTGCTTTTAACTGCTATCTTAAATGTCGGCTGCTGAGCGTGTTCGGTCGGTCGAAAGCAAGTTGTGCATTCGCCCTCGGGTCTCCGGACAATCAAGGACCTGTCTTCTGGAATCCAAAGGCGAGAAGGATTTGTTTAGTGCGTAGCGCCCGTCCAAGAGATATTGGTATTCAAAGTTGATTTGAAATGATTTTCCACAACGGGGCGTTAAGTGGTTAGCAGGAGAGCTAAATTTTATTCTAGTCGAAGTTTTTTTTTGGCCCATATATGTTCCTGACAATTCTCCTAATCGCCTGTCTATACCAATATCGTTTTTATGATTATGATAGAAATATATATCCTGGCAAGCTTGAGCTATATCTGGCATAACGGTGCACTTCTCGACTTGTGTCCAAGCTATCCCGGACTGACCCTGTCGGAATTATATTTATCTGAACAATACCTCAAAATCACTGAATACCACGTTGAATCGATATCTAATAGTTATCCTAGATAATTACTAAAAAGATAATTGGTAGTTAGTTATTTAGTTCTAAGAAATGAAATGGATAAGCTGTGAAGCTGATCAGATTTGGCCCTATATCATATCGGGACTAGATAGATAGTTAGCCTTTGTCCGATCCCTGAATCCAATTAATCGACCGTTAATCGCCTTTCCTTGTTCAAGTTGCCAGGGCTTCAATCCTGTCGATGAAGAACCAAAAAAATACATCCTAATGGTCTTATCACCTGCGGCCTCTGAGAGATATTATTGATCCCAGAAGGCCGCTTCTCAGCGGCCAAGAGAATGACGAACTGGCTATACGAGGCTTGTGAAGGCTCTGCGTATTGGGGTCCGAAGGGTAGTACAGATAGCAACATGATGCTTCCTGGTTTCGTTGTCTGTGTTCCGTAATTGCGCCTGATTTGCGTCTTCTATTCGCATGGCCCTGCTGTATTCCGTCTGGAGTGCGCTGCAGATGATTTCGGTTTGTGGCATGGAGGCGTTCAGAGCAGGAAACAAAGACTTTCTCGCACGACCGAACCTGCGATATTCCCATGTCATTTTCATTCATTGTTGCCGGTATGTGGGACTGTGGGAATAGCACTTACTTCCCTATAACCCACCCACCCAAATGGCCGTCTGTCTCGCGTCAATGTCGCAGATTTTGTCCCATCCTCGCTGCCGGGAACCCACGGGATTAATTAATCCCTTTGTGATCTTCGCACCCGAAAACTGGCGGCGCAAATTCGCTAGGAGTCTGGTTTCCCACTTTTCCAGATAAGCAGCGGAGTAATCTATCCAATCCGTCTCTGGGAATTTTCTCTCATTTGGTGTTCTATATTGTTCATTGCTCTCTCCATTCCAGGTTTGCTTTCTCACACACTCTCTCTGTGTGGGCGTGGGTGTTTGATATCACCCTTTCTCATGACTGGAGCAGTCGCGTGTCGTGCATACAACTCGCACAACACATTTCCCTGTCCTGGCCCTGTACTCTGTGTTCTTCACTTTTCTGACCTCATTCACTGTATTCCTCCTGTCCCTCGACGCAATCGCCCTGGAGCGTGATTTATTGTACATATATACATGATCTACATATGTGGTATCGGAAACAGCCTACTTACTCCTTGCTCGATCAGTCAACAACGATGGCTGCCACCACAGATGGCGCCGCTCACCAAACCTCAGCGAAAACCTCTTCCCAGGAATCTTTGCACGAATTCTCAGACCATTACAACATGGATGACATCGAGGACTGTCTCGACGATGGCGTGGGGGACGATGCAATGCGGCGGGGCCATACTAAAAATGACCAAAAGGATATGAACCGTATGGGCAAACGGCAGGAGTTAATCGTCTGTTCCCCGCGGGAAGTTTCAATTCGATATCGGTGTGATTAACTGACTGATGGGAGGCAGAGGAACTATCGTCCGCTTTCCGCCCTGAGTTTTGCCCTTATCCTGCAAGCCACCTGGGAGTTTATGTTGATGTGAGCCAACCAATTATATATATATATGTATTCCGGTAGTTGTATGCCGGGAACCAAACTCATGGATTGGGGCTAATATCAATTGGAATTTTGCAAGATCTAACACTGAAGGGCTTACGAATGGTGGCCTCGCCGGACTATTTTGGTCATATATCTGGACATTCGTTGGGTTTGGTTTCGTGATCTTCTCGCTTGCGGAAATGGCCTCTATGTAATTCTCCAAATATGCCAGTGCGTGGGTTGTGTTTTTCTGTTTCATGAGAAGGGGCTGCTAATACACATTTTTCTATCCGTTTCTACAGGGCGCCAATTTCTGGAGGACAATACCATTGGGTGTCTGAATTTGCATCAGAGAAACATCAAAAGTTCCTGAGTTATGTCACTGGTTAGTGAGGAGAGTGATGAACTCCGCTATATTGGTAACGTAATTGATGCTAATATATTTTGATTGGCAGGATGGTTGTCGGTGCTAGCATGGCAGGCTGGTGCAGCATCTGGATCGTTTCTCACGGGAAACATCATTGAAGGCCTTATAACTGTCAATAAACCAGATTATGTATCTACTCCTTGGAGGGGTACTCTACTTGTCTTTGCAATGGTGGCTTTGATATTTTTCTTCAACATATGGGTGGCTCAAGGCCTGCCCATGATCCAGAATATGCTTCTTGTTGTCCATATCTTCGGTTTCCTTGCGGTCGTGGTTGTTTTATGGGTCATGGCTCCCCATCAACCTGCTAGGGCGGTATTTACGGAATTTCGAAATGGCGGAAGCTGGCCAAGTATAGGAGTCAGCGTCATGGTCGGGCAGATTTCAGCCATCTACGGAGGCCTGAGTGCGTTATCCCTATGTCTTCTCCCCATTTGCAGGTGTGTGCAGTCTCTGGAGAAATTGAGCTAACACGACTTCACTGCAAAGGCGTTGATGCAACCGCACACATGGCTGAAGAAGTCAAGGACGCTGGGAGGAATGTACCGAACGCGATTGCTTGGGGATACGTCGCGAATGGAATCCTAGCCATCATATTTATCGTCACCTATGTCTTCTCCATTCCGTCTGTAGACGACGCTCTGAACGACCCTTCAACATTCCCCTTTATCTACGTATTCCGCAATGCTGTGTCCACGAAGGGAGTTAACGCACTTACCATTGTCATCCTTGTATTAGTAATTGCAAGCAATGTCTCATTTAATGCTTCCACATCCCGGCAAACGTTCTCTTTCGCTCGCGACAAAGGCCTGCCGTTTTCCCGCTGGCTATCTGACGTCCATCCAACGAAACACATCCCGGCCAACGCCATATTTGTCTCCTGTCTGATCAGCGTACTTCTTTCGCTCATTAATCTGGGATCAAGCGCCGCATTCCATGCCATTATATCACTTAATGTTGCTGCGCTCATGGCGACATACGCTGTCTCAATTAGCTGTGTGCTCTACCTCCGTCTCACACGCCCCGATCTGCTGCCTGATGCGCGCTGGAGCCTGGGACCCGTAATTGGTCCGATTGTTAATGGTCTTGGTCTCGCATATGTTCTGTTCGCCCTGTTCTGGTCATTCTGGCCTGGAGATCGACATGTCACTGTGGACAATTTCAATTGGAGCATAGTCATATTCAGCGGGGTGGTTGCTATTAGTCTGGTAATGTACTATGTGCAAGGCCGGAAGACCTACACTGGTCCGGTTACCACGGTGGCAGGGAGACATTGAGGGGTGGGAAGTCCTTTTTACAAGCACGAGGCGCATTGTATTTAGCATAACTTCTTTATTTTCGTACTTCCATTTATAACATTGATTATTTGGAAATGTTTATATTCCCATGCTCCGTGGTGGAGCTTTACCACGATCGAGGTTGCCGGACCGCGGTTCGCTTCCCGAGCCTGAGGGACAAAACAAGAACCTGCAGGCTGCACCGGATGCGCTGGAATCGCAGGTCGCTGCAGCTCGCATCGCTTTGTCCGTTATTCTGCTAGGCCCATGTCGCCGGGAACTTCTAAAATTAAGGAAAAATGGAAGCAAAATTGAACGCCACTCTCTCAAGAAGGATGGTTCGACAAGGCCGATGTCCCAGTTGCAATAGCAAAAACGAGCTCCGCTGACGGCACTAAAAAAAAATGGGGGCCAATGCCACGCAAGGAAAACCTCCCGCTATGTCTGAGCCAAAATGGCTTGCAATGTTCAATCACATCTATGGCTGATGTGGGCCCCTAGAACTCCCTGGCGCGCAGTCCCTGCCTCTCCCGTCATGACTTCCAGCATCCTCGACGGCAAAAGTTTTTGCTCGTCTCCTGTCATTTTTCTTGCCGCATCCCGTTTCATACCTCTTTATCTTGTTTTTGTCTGACTGTTGTTATTATCATTATCGTTGTTGTTGTTGTTGTTGTTGTTGTTGTTAATGTTATTGTGACGGTCTTCCCAAGGCTCCGTTGCTTTTAGAATAATTTGAATTTTTGCATACTCAACTTCGCTGCCTGATGCCCTCTGTATAATCATCGCCGTTATCCCCAGAATGATCCTTGGGCCACGTCTGGGGGTTAAACCCCTTATCCTCTATGTCTCGATATTTTTGCTATCTATCGTGGGCCTGTATTCATGGATATATTCTTCGCCTCCGCAGTATATCGGCGAAACTCTCCAGAATATCAATCACCAAAACGGGCTAACAAAGCATAAAGCAAACGAGCTCTGTGGCCTCTACAACTGGCCAGCCTATGATCCACGACAAGGACACAATCAAAACACCCCTCACCCAGCTCGGAAAGTGTATGACATCTTCCTCCTCAACACCGAACTCGACTGGCTCGAAATCCGTCTTAACGAATTAAATGACCAAGTCGACTTCTTCGTAATCGTCGAATCTAACACAACCTTTACCGGCCACCCGAAGCCCTTGCTCCTCACCGACCTCTCCGTCTGGGCCAAATTCGCCCCCTTCCACCATAAGATAATCCACCATATCGTGGAAGGAGACGGCGAAAATGTACGTAAAGCCTTTGACCGCGAGAAATTTCAGCGAGACGCCGGCTTCACCCAGCTTTTCCCCACACTCGGCAAACCAAACGCGAAGAGTCCTCTTGCCCTCCTCCCCGCCACAGCTCCGCAGCTCGGCGACGTCATTCTCGTCTCCGACATCGACGAGATCCCCCGCCCTGCCACTGTGACCTTGCTCCGCATCTGCAGCTTCCCCCGGCGTGTCAATCTCCGCAGCAGGTTCTACTACTACAGCTTCCAATGGCTACACAAGGGCCCGGACTGGGCGCACCCGCAAGCGACATATTATGAAGGCATGGAAAATACGATAAAGCCGGACGACCTGCGTATGGGGCGCGGGGGATCGATCGTGCAGAAGTTGTTCGGCGCTAAGGCGGACCTGTTCAATGCGTCGTGGCATTGCAGCTCGTGCTTTGCGACAGTGAAGGAGATGCAGACTAAGATCACCAGTTTTTCACATACCGAGTATAATCGGCCGGAGTTTATGAGTAAGGAACATATTGTCGAGGTGGTGAGGACGGGGAAGGATTTGTTCGATCGACCGTCTCAGGTTTATGAGAGGGTTCAGTCAAATCTAGACGTGCCGGCGTTCTTGAAGGGAGAGGCTGAGAAGAAGCGGTTTAGATATATGTTGGATAGGGATGGAAAAGATGGGGGTTTTGTGGATTTTGATTCTTCTGGAAACTGAACGGATCCATAGGTCGTAATTTTGGATCGTGTCATTGGATTTTTTTTTTTTTCTTGCCGGTTTATTCGTATGTTTCATATATATATATATACAAGCCGCAATCGCTCACTTGCGCTCACTTATCCAGCTTGAAAACTCATTGTTTAATCCCTCAAATGAATATAATGAAAATATAAGCAGCTGTATATGACTTGTATAGATGAATTCTATATAATTTATAACTATTAATAGAGAATAATTATATGAATGAAAAAGATGAATAATAGATATCAATATCAGAGTTGTACTGATCACAAAACTGGCAGGATGGATTTGATGGGGTACAGTGCATTTTGCACAGAAAAGTTGGTTTTTCTATAATAAAGAGAGAGAGATATATATATGTCTATATATTGGTTTCTTTTCTTTTCTTTTTTTTTTTTTTTTTTTCCATGTTTGTTATATCCAGGCGCATATTTTGAAAGACTTGCATATACATGAGTGCCGGACGCCGTAATTTAGCTGATACTACAGCATATATAACGGTTATGATATTTTTAAGATTTTGAACCTTGCCTGTCCAGCTTCAGTCTTCGGGCCAAAAGTTGATTCGCCGCAACCATATAGTTTACATTCGTTGGGGTGAATTTGGAGCAGCTTCAACATGCTCATCCTTTTAAGCCCCTGCGAACTGCCGAACCAGCCAACCACCAAGACGAAGAAACTCCTGCTCACAACCTCTGGCTCACAGCTTAAACAGCCTACACCTCGCTGACCATTCCCACATTCTGCTTCTCCTTCCCTCTTTACCACCGAAACATCCTCATGAGTATCATCCCCAAAGCAGCCCCCCATTCACCATCGTCTCCCACGTCCTCCCCACCCTATATACAAACCCACCCACAAGATCCAGTCCAAGCCACCTCCAGAATGGCTGTGAACATTATGAAGGGATCTTCCGCCTAGGATAGTATATTTATGCATCCCCCCACTTGGAGGTTGTTACTTAGTTTGGCTGCTTATGAGGGTAGAATAG